GTGGTTTCTTAATAAAATTAGAATAATTTCCAAATTTTACTTTAGCTTTTTTTACACAACCAGGTTTCTTTTTTTTTTAATAGAACTATAGGATTTCAACTATACATACATACATACAGCCGTTACTCGCTGACGAGTATTCGACACACATAAAGAAGATGGGCACGCACGGCATTTTCTTTCATGAGCTTTTCTGTGACTGAAAAGCCCGATACGTGATGTTATCTGCTTACCGCACTCCGGACATTCAAAAATCTCATTGCTGTGTTGCCTCTTTACTTTTTTGGTTGCCGCTGTTAACTGAGTTTACAACTCTTCTCCATTGAGTTCTATTGTGAGCTGCTTTTTCCCACTCATTCTGCATGTTAATTCCCTTTAAGCTTTCGTGGAAAATGTCCTTGTACCTTTTCAGTTGTCCACCCGGCCTCCTCTTACCGTCTACAAGCACACCGTAAAGCAGAGACTATGGTATGCGGTTTTCTTGCATTCTGCATACGTGACCAGCCCATCTTAAACGGGATTTTGTGAACATGACATCAATACTCTCGCAGTTAGCTTTTTCAAGGACCGATACGTTTGAGATATGATGGAACCACCGGACTCTTAAGAGTTGTCTAAGGTTTGCTCTGTTGTTACAACTTGTTTAATGCGTTCATTTGTCGGTGGTACGGCACCCAAGTTTCGCTCCCATATAACATGGTGGGGATTATAATTGCTCGGTACACTGCAAGTAGTTTTGTTTTTGTACTCAAGTCACGATTCTAGAAAACCCTGTCTTTTAATTTCCAGAATGCTCTTGAGGCGCTACTAATCCTGTGCTGAATTTCAGAGTCAATATGGGCCTTTTCCGAAATCAAACTGCCAAGGTAATTGAATTCCGCCACATATTCCAATAGTTCTTCTCCGATTTTTATAGCATTGTTGTGATCTTCCGGGGGAGTGCACATAATTTTAGTTTTGTCGATGTTTAGCTTAAGGCCCAAAGCCTCGTATGCCCAGGTATATGTATTCAACATTTCTTGTAATTGCTTTACCGTGTTTGCAACTAGAGCGCAGTCGTCAGCGTATTGAAGTTCTGTGATAAATTTTGTACGTATTTTTGCCCTGAGTCTTTTTATGTTGAACAGACCGCCGTCATATCGGTATCTAATGCCCAATCCTCTCTCCTGCAGTTTGCTGTCCACTATAATGGAGAGCGCTGCCATGAATATGTTGAATAGGAGAGGCGTTGTTGAATAGGAGAGGACAGTGTTGCCAGATATTGCCGGAGATGAAAAAAAAAATCCGTATTTATACAGGGTGAGTCTTGAATAAGTGCAAATATTTTCAGGGATGGTATATTTCGACCCCAGGAACACGTCTATTAGGTTTTTTCGCATAAAAATATGATAAAAATCGTACATTTTTTAAAAATTTCATAATCTCTGATATGGTTACGCCTACATGGTCACGATACATAGGGGTGCAAGTACAGAAAAAAACGGTAAGAGAAAATATGTTATCGAGATCTACCACCCCTGAAAATATTTGTACTTATTTAAGACACACCCTGTATTTTATTGATCATTAATTCGTGTTAAACATAAAATAAATATCAAAAATAAACATTTTAAAAATGACAAAACATTACTACTTCTCAATATCTACGTAATATAGGGAAATTAAAATAATTTTCGTTGCACATCATAATACGACCACCAGCAAACTCCATAAGACGACGCATGGTGTCATTGATGACGTGCAACCGGTGCAACGAAAGTTGTTCCAATTTCCCTATAGTTACGTAGTATTACATGGACAAGAATAGATGAGACAAACAAGTATTGCAAACCAATACAATTTTTTATTATTACAAAAATATGATCCGACAGGCAAATAATATCAGTTATTATTTCTTTGTATGATTAGTATTGTCAATTAATCGATGGTAATAGATAAAATTTTTAATTTGCAAATATTCTTTTATGGGTATATGGGTATAGGTAGTGCATATTTCGTATGATAAAAGTCGTTTAGTAGGCTTGGAAATGAACATTTACCATATCATTTTACATATGAAATAACAGTGATCTTCATTTCCAAGGCAACTGTGACACTGTCCTTTTTTAAACATATAATATTATGTTAAATTGTTCAATAACTGAAAATCCGTATTATTTGAAAAAAATCCGTACGTCCGTAGAATATATCCGAAATTGGTCAATCTACGGATTAATCCGTAGTTCTGGCAACACTGAGGCGCTAAGACACATCCCTGCCTAACTCCTGTATTTGTTAGGAATGGGTCGTTCAGTGATCCATGATGTGACACTCTTGACTTGTTGTTATGGAGACTTTTACACACTGTAAGAAATTTGTTGGGTACTCCGAACTTTTTCATAATTGCCCAAAGCGCATCTCTGTTCACAGAGTTGAAGGCTGTTCACAGAGTCGAAGACTTTTCAAGTATAGCGCTTACAGTGCCACAAGGTTCCAAGTAATTTTTTTACAGCAGCTTTTGATGTATTTTTTATAGACAAATCCCTATACAATGTTCCGAAATATATTTCAAATTGATTTCTGTTATAATAATGAGTATCAAACTTTAAAATTCATTTTTCTAAGAAAAATGAAAATGCCGCTTGGAACCCTATGGTTCTCACCCTCGTTATATTACAACCAAATGTCTACTTTGCTTCTATGTTGTGAACAAGAAATAGATGATGTACTTTTTATTTCATAGAATTTAAGACTTTATTTCTTAAAATTTAAGGCTTTATTTCAAATTATATTCTCCATTAACTTATATTACCTATGAAGAAATGAAGCGTAAACAAACCGTCAAGCTTATGTAGCACGTTACCCACTTCCGATATTTGAAGTTTCATACATTAAATATTCATGTATTAAAGTTGCCGTTCTATTATTCACAAAAGATCTCTTACCGGACACAGATAGCTAGCTTGTTTGTATATTCTTTATTTTTGAATAACTTCTATCTGCATCTTCCTTTATTATTTAAAGTAAAACCTGCCGTTTCTGGGACTGCATATATATTACTTGACGTGCAAAGGTTAAGAAATTTTTCGTGGCAGAAAAGGAAATGATGTCTTTTTATCATTTTACGTATATTATTTTTATGTCTTTTTACATATATTTATTTTATCCATATATTAATATGCCAAGTCACCTTATGCAACTTAATGTTATATGAACTATTTAAATCTCTTTAGTTTAATAAATGAAATTTATAATAAATAATATATATTATTAAAAAGTTTTGCAAATATTTAGTTTAATTTTAAATACTCTTATTAACTCCATCGTTTTTGTTTATTTTGTTTATTATGTTAGTTCAGGTACATGGGGACAAATTTTTATCTTCAACTATTTAGCCCGATTTTATGAAATGAATTTAAATTAAATTATTGATAAAATAGCAAGAATTAGTGTGTACCTTATTTTGTAATAAATTAGAAGGCCAGGACTAATATTTTTGAGATACGTTTTTTTGGTGAATTTTTTAAGCAGAAATTCACATAATTGCAGGTCAAAAAACAGTGATATTTTACAAAAAAAAATGTTGGAATGCTACAGAAATGGAATCCAAATGCAACCAATTTTCTTTTTTTTATTTTAATAGTTCATTATACTACATACACGTATAGAAATATATAATTACTATTGCCAAGTAAACCTGGAAGTCGAGATGGAAAAAATTACTAACCAACTAAACGCTGCGGGAATATTTAGGTAATGTTTAAGCCTTCAAATATCTTATTCTATCACAGTGAGAAAAGTTAAAATAGGCCGCTATCTGGGATTTTTTCATTTGTTTTTTAAATATCTACGTTTAAATTAAAAAAAAATAAAGCAACGCTTAACAAATAATACTTCTACCTCCTTCTTCTCTAAAATGAATAGTAACAGAGATAGAGATATTTTTAAAGTTTTATCGATTTTTTGCTTTTAACATACATTTAGAAAAAAATAAATATTAACGATAGGTATTTACTTGAACTGTGTAAAATTAATTCAAATTTAAGCCCAATAAATATATATGCGTACTATTTAAACATATTTTATGACGCATCAGTAGCATCATTCTCCTTCACGGCCAAAAAAAAAACATTAATTTGCGTAACCCTTTCTATACACCTGGAAGAACGTTTGAGACCGAGTTTTCTACAGGAAGAGTTTTTAGAACACTCACTCTTTTTACAGTTGCAAAAATCCACCCATACTGCAAAGGGTTTCATTTAGCACCAATCCAATCTTGAGTCTAAAAATACCATTTAAATACATCCAAACTTATATAGAAAAAATTATCTATTATATTTCATAATTTTTGAGACGTATGGACATTTTGTATTTATGAATAAAACTCAGTTCTTATCAAACTTACTTTTTGATTAGAAAGGAAATAAAGAAATGATTGTAATAAACTCGAGAAAATAGAAATTCCTGCTAAAATAACACGTGGTACGAGGTCGGCTTACCTTGGAGGGTTGTAGTCTTCTCCTGGGTGGCCACCCTGTATCTGGATCAGGAACAACTACTCGCACGAGTAAACGGTACCGAATTGGTAGGACCTTTTGAAGATTTAAAATAAAGTTATTTGCGGCGGCGGCGGTTAGCACGTTGAATCGATCTTTCGATAGATGCGGTTCTTGCGGGATCTTTCGATCAAGTGTGTTGTGGTACAAGGTTAATTGACGCAGGCGTGTTTCAGCCCTTTGGAATAACCTCCCTAGTACCACATATGCGTATACAATAAATAATAGAATAAATTAATATTGAATTTAAAATTAAAAGAGATAAAATTAAATATATTTTGAGAGTTTCCTAAACATTCTGCCCGGCGAAAAGGCATGTTCTAAACATGCGTTTTAAATGCGTAACTTTTGAATGCAAAAAAAATAAAAATTGAGATAAAGATAAAGAAAAAATAAAAAGAGAAAAAAAAATACATAAAAATAATTTTGTGTAATAGCAAAAAAAAAATAAATAAATGGCGATAATTAATTGCTGGGTAAAGGACATAATTTAACTAAAGGACGCTGCAAAGTTCCCTTAGCTGTCCTCACCAGAGCCACCCGCACCACACCATCCGTCCCCTCACTTAACGAAATTATGCGACCTAAGGTCCATTGGCATGGAGGAGCATTTTCATTTTTTATAATAACTAACGTTCCTAGAGAAGGAGCGGCAGAGGAATTAAGCCATTTCTGGCGTTGTTGAAGCGAATGTAAATACTCTTTATGCCACCTGTTCCAAAAATCGCGATGCAATCGTTGTAAAAGTTGCCAACGAGAGAGACGGTTAATTGGTACAGCAGTAAAGTTCGGCGTAGGTAAACTGTTCAATGGCTCTAAAGTTAAAAAATGACCAGGGGTTAGCGCATTAATGTCTTCGACGTCCGAACTGATGGGATTGAGCGGACGTGAATTTAATACAGCTTCAATCAAGGTCAGGGTCGTATATAATTCCTCAAAAGTCAGGACTTGTTGTCCGATTACTCGACCTAAATGCGTTTTTACTGAACGGACACCAGCTTCCCAAAGTCCCCCAAAATGCGGGGCAGCGGGCGGATTAAAATGCCATTGAATATTTTCATGTTCAACTGCGGATTCAAACATAGTTTTAATTTCTTTGCTAGCACCAACAAAATTGGTTCCACAATCACTATATATGTCTGTGCAGCGACCTCTTCGGGATAGGAATCTCTGAAGGGCGCCCAAAAAAGCTTCCGTGGACAAGCTACTAACTAATTCTAAGTGCATAGCTTTAGTCGCAAAACATATAAATAAACATATATATGCTTTAGTTGTTTTAGCACCTCTATATCTGTTCATAGTAATTAAGAACGGCCCTGCAAAGTCTACCCCCGTGTGTGTGAAAGCTTTTAATTGTGAAACGCGAGACGGCGGTAAATTTCCCATTTGCGGTTGGAAAGGCTTCGGATTGGATCGCCAACAAATTAAACATGAATGAATTACTGAATTTATAGCTCGTTTAGGAGAAAGAATCCAAACCGATTGAGATAGTAAAAAAAGCAAAGTGCGCAATCCTGCATGAAGGTATTTAAGATGGTAGTAATATATTAAATGGCGTGTTAGTAAACTAGAGCGAGGTAGTAAAATTGGATATTTTGCAGAATAAGATAGAGTTGAATGTTTTAATCTACCACCTACACGAACAATTCCTTGTTCGTCAATAAAAGGATTAAGTTTACGTAATGGTTTAGAAAAAGATTTAGAAATCAATTCCGATTGGAAACAAATCGATTGAGTCCTTTTACAAGACACGTAAATGATTCATTTAATTCAACAGTAAGAGCGGACCCGATCTTTTTTGACGGGGATTTTTTATATTAAAAAGGAAGCGTAAAACATAAGCGACGGTACGTTGAAGAGTAGCGAAAGAAGAGTATTTTTCTAAAAGAAGGTCAATAAAGTTCTCTTCAGAAGTAGCGGCGAAAAAAGAAGTATGTTTTTCTTCTTCGGAAGTACTATTTAGAGTAGCGCATGCGGAGGTTGAACCTAACAAAGCATCAGGATCATGAAGAAAAGAAGGTCCTTGAAACCAAGTACTAAAATTTACAAACTCTGATGGAAATATTCCTCGAGAAGCAACATCAGCAGGGTTGTTCTTGGACTTAACGTGTAACCAAGTTGCGTGTGGGAGCTTGTCTTGAATATAAGATACTCGGTTAGCAACAAAAGTTTTCCAACGACTAGGTGGAGAGTGAAGCCAATATAAAACAATATTAGAGTCAGACCAGGTAATAATTTTATCTAAAGATATTTTAGTTTTAAAAATGGGTACTAAATATGCGAGTAATTTAGCAAGAAGAACAGCGGCGCAGAGCTCAAGACGGGGAATTGTTAACTTCTTTAAAGGCGCAACTTTAGTTTTTGAAGCAACTAAATGAACATCTATTTTTTTGTTGTTTCTCAAAATTCTAAGATATACAACTGCGGCGTAACCTTTTTCAGACGCATCACAAAAACCATGCAACTCACATCTATTCTCACACTCGGAAAATAGGATCTTCCGGGGAAGGTCAATTTGAGACAACAAGTGCATTTCATTTTTGTAACGCGTCCAAATACGGATAATTTCGTCAGGGGGCTGTTGGTCCCAATCCATATGGGACGACCATAACTTTTGGATTAAAGTTTTAGTAAAAAAGGTAACAGGAGCTAAGAAGCCTAACGGGTCAAAAATACGAGCTAATTCTGACAACATGTTTCGTTTAGTACAAGGTCTGTCAAGAGAGTTAAAATGAAAATGAAAGTTATCCGTTGTGGGATTCCACTGAAGACCCAAAATTTTTAATGATGATTCAGGATCATCAAAATTTATATGAGTAGTTGATAAAAAGTCAGAAGGTAGATCACTCAGTAGATTGGGATCGTTACTTGCCCATTTTCTAAGGTCAAGCCCAGCTTTAGAAAACAAAGCTATTAGTTCATTTTTAAGGGCGAGAGCTTCACTGAAAGTGGTGGCTCCAGTAACCACGTCATCAACATAAGTATGATTTGAAATCGCATGAGATGCTAAGGGAAAATCTGCTCCTTCATCAAGGACTAATTGCTGAAGTGCGCGTAAGGCTAAGAAAGGCGAAGGCGATAAACCATAAACGACAGTAATTAATTCGTAGTCCTGAAGAGGGTCATTACGAGAAAATCTCCAAACAATTCTCTGATACTGATGTTGAGAAGAAGTGATCAATATATTGCGATACATCATTTTAATATCTGTACATAAAACGTACACATGAAAGCGAAATTGAATTAAGAGTTCAACAATGTCTTTTTGAAGTTTGGGTCCGGTAAACAAATGATCGTTGAGAGAGGTTTGGTTCGGGAGCTTCGCACTACCATTGAAAACCACTCGCAATTTGGTTGAGCTAGCTTGAGGCTTTAAAACGCAATGATGCGGAATATAATACGAAGCGGAAGATAACTCAGTTTCATGACTGACAGGTTTCATATGTCCCAGATCAAGATATTCTTTCATAAATTGACAATAAGATTTATACAATTCTTGATCTTTTAATAGACGACGTTCTAAAGAGAGAAATCGCTGTTCAGCAAGTTGACGAATACCGGGGAAAGTAGGAAAGTTATCGCGGAATGGTAGATGCACTACAAATTTTCCATCGGAATTTCTCTGGTATGTTTTTAAGAAATGTTCTTCACAAAAAAGATCATTATCTGACAGCATAGGCAAAAGAGGAACTGACTCTACTTCCCAAAATTTTGTAAGAATATCATCAGTATTAATTTTATGCGAATTACAAAAGAATGAAGTTACAGTAGACGTTTCACAAAATGTACCTATTTTACCCATTGGAACATACCCAAAAATTGTGTTCAAAAGATCTGGTTCTCCGTGAATCCCTCGAACACATCCGTTTAGGATAATTTTTGTGTATACATCAGCACCAAGCAGAATGTCAATAGGACCAGGTACATAAAACTTCGGATCAGCAAGTTTCAAATTGCTAAGATGAGACCAAGAAGAAGCTGGCAAAATTGCAGTAGGTAAGCTATCGCAAATTTTAGGTAAAACAATAGCGTCAGTATTAAGTACTGATTCCGGACAATTAAGCGGTCGAAATGAAAGTGTAACGGTAGCTTGCCCGGAGTTTGTAACCATATTATCAAGACCTTGAATTTCATAAAGTCCCCTTTCCTTTGGTAAACCAAGAGTATTAGCAGACTTCTCTGTTATGAATGAAGTCATACTTCCAGGATCAAGCAAGCATCGCATTGATTGATATATACCAAACTTATCTAATACTTCGATAACCGCGGTTCCTAATAGAACTGATGTAGATTTAGATAACAAGCCTGTCGCAGCGAAGCTCTGATTCAACGAAGAATTCTCATCGCGATTTGAAAATACAGTTTTAGAAGGTGTACCAGAAAAGTGAGGTTTATTATTAAAGCTATTTTCACGAGAAGTTGAAGGTAAAGCTGATTCGGGACTATGAGTGGCGCGTTCTATATTACTTGAAGAAAAATGCAAAAGAGTATGATGACGTTGATTACATTTACGACAAGACATAGCTGATTTACAATTTTGCGTAGAATGAATATTACTTAAGCAGTTAACACATAGATGTGCCCTTTTGGAAAGCTGATACCTTTCTTGAGGAGTTTTGCTTAAAAAAGTTGAACAATTATATAACGAATGCATTTCGTTACAAAGTAAACAAGATCCGGAATTACTATTTTTTGTTTGCTTTGCCAAAAGAGAAGTAGTACGACGAGGTTGTAATGGTGATTTAATTTTATTTGATCTTTTGTTATTAATTAAAGGTAAAGAAAGATTAAGAGATTCATAAGTTTTACAACATTTTTCTAAAAATTCAAATAATTCTTTAAATTTTGGTATTGTGCCTGAGGCAAGCGAAAGTTCAAACCTTGTTATTAAATCATCATCAACCCGTTCCAACAACATGTTAACTAATATGAAGTCCCAAGATTCAATTGGAAAATTTAAATTTTTTAAAGAGGCGAGATTTTGTGAAAATGTGTCCAAAAGATTTCTAAGAGATTCAGGTTGGTCGCGAATAACTTTAGGGGCAGTTTTAATAGCATACCAATGCGATTGCGCTCGAAATCTTACGTTACTGTAGCGATCAACAAAGTTATCATATGTGGTTTGATAATTGTCTGAAGTCATTGGCAGGCTACTAACAACACCCAATGGTTTACCCTCGACTAACGAAAGAAGGTAACGAAATTTTTCTATTGGCGTTAATGTTGGATTATTATGTATCAGAGCATTATAGAGATCGATAAATGTAGAAAAAGTTCTATAATCACCATTAAATTTAGGAATATCTAAATTTGGAGGTTTTATATGATAATTATGTTCATTAGAAGTACCTGAAGTAGTAGCATTCATAGAATAATTTAATATTTTTTGCGAATTTGCAGTATCAATTTCGCATAAGTCTACGTACATGGACTTTACGACATAAAAATCATTAAAAAAATGCTGTTCTTATAACATTTTCTGGTTCTAAATCGGTGTCAGCTTCATTTGCAAGACTAGAAATAATATTTTGATGCTGTTTTATAAAGTCATCTTTGAGAACATCAAGTTCTGCACATCTAACTTTAAATAAACTGCGAACTGTTTTATCAGTTTTGGTACGTTCTGCTAACTGTAATAAATATTGAATCTCTGAAATAGAATTACTTCTATTGTTTTCAGTTTTCTTAAGCGTATTTGTTCAGCCATAATTACTAAATTATGAAATAAAGTACAAAATAATATTATTTATTTGAATCTCCCTCGTAGTATAAACATAAAAATAACAACAAACAAAAAAAACTTGAAGTGCGTATGCTTATCAGTAAAATTATTGATTTGGTGAACAATTCCCTTAGACGACGAAATTACTACTGACCATCGATAGAATGTCCGTTGGCTATCGCGCAAATCTGTGGAATCTAAAATGGCCAGGCGCGGAATGGAACTGGCGATGCGGTCTTGCGCTGATAATATTGAAAAGAGAGAAAACAAAAAAAGGAAAATTTAAATCTTAGAGAAATATATAACTGTAGTTAATATAAACTTTTTTATAGAAATGAATGTAGGAAAATAGATATTGATAGAAAATCTAAATGCGAAAAAAAAAAGAATAAAATAGGAGAGACTTTCAAAAGTTCGCTATATTCGGCGTTATCCGGCTACGAAGGACCAATGATTAGAAAGGAAATAAAGAAATGATTGTAATAAACTCGAGAAAATAGAAATT